ATAGACCACTTCCACTCTCAGTCCCTGGTCCACACTGACACAAACTTTCCACAAACCTGAATCAGGCGTGTGGCTAACATGGACCGTTCCTACTCTCAGTCTATGATCGATTTTGACACTAACATGGACCAACTGCACTCTGACTATAAACTGAACGCAGGCTAACATGGACCATGCCAAGTACCCGTAGGGCCCACCATGGCACATCTGAATTTGGTCTAGGTTAGTCTCAACGGTGTCCGCTCGGAAACTAGACTAACATATATCAAAAAAGAATTGGCCAACATGTTAGTTTTCACCTGCAGTGTATATCAACTTGACTAGTAAAGGAATGGACAAGAATGCAAAAGGTGACTCGAGTCAAATTAAACATCCAAGCTCCTGCCTTCAAGAGAAGCAAGGCATGCTCCCAAGCACTTGAGGCCAGAACCTCACAATTCACTGTGGCATGTAAATCAATGCAAACCATGAAATCCACATGCAAAACGAAACACTAAACAACCAGGAAAAGCTGTCATGCTGAGCTGTCAAGCCAAACAGCTCGCGCACTGCACAAACCGGCAATCCATGGTTTTAGGAACGTATAGGACGTCTGGCCTGTCGCTAGCCTCATGCCAGTGGGAGCTGACTAAACGCCAAAATTGCCAGCCAGCCACGCAAGAGGAAGTGGCCCCATCGTCCCCTCCGGTGGTTTGAGCAACCTTCAAGACATCCTAAGTGAAGGATCGTGGCACAATGTGCCACAGGCTGTTGGAGTCATTTGAGCCGCTTTCCACGTCTCTTTCCCCGCCGTAGGTCGCAGCCAATTGCTCCAAGTATCTAGCGCTTGATCCCAAGGAAGCCTTCGCTGTCTCCCTGAGGCCATACTCGAGCCTCAAAATCGAGGGATTGCAAACCAAATCCACAAGGCTGCTCATAACAAATCCCGTCTGCTGCAGGCGGCCTGAATAGCTTTGCTCAACACGACGTTTGGCATACCCACCACCCCACAGCTGAGCTGTTGTTTCACAACTCCTTAGGTCCCTAGACTGGCCAAATCTATGCAGTGACGCCCAGCAGCTTTCAAAATAAGAAACGCCAACTGCCATCTCACGATCTTGAATGCGACTTCTGGGCTGTCTGCAGTAGACCTGAGCAGGGGCCGCATTTGGACCTGCACTCCTGCACTTCCAACCTCCAGAACAATGGCCAAGCCGCAATGCTAGCTCCCAGGCATCCACTGCTGAGGCATCAAGCCCTGGGTTTTGGGTTGGGGCACGGAACAAAAAGTCTGTGAAGAGTTGTAGGTCATTTCATCATGTTTTTCTATATGTTTTTTCTCCCTCTCAGGTGGCCAAGCTTGGCCCAATGGCCTCGAAGAGCCAGTTTCCATGCCACGGCATGAATGCCATGGTCGGCTGCAATCCGCTCAATGGCCATGCGTCGGAGCATGGTGAGAGAACGTTGCCACTGTTTCGAACGGTCCTTGCTCGCATTTGAAGCAAATGAAGGTGAAGGGGGCGAACTGAGAGACAAAGGGAAATTGCACAAACGAAACACACAAAGCAACAAAATCAATCATTGCATCGGTTTAAGGGACAATCTACAGAAAACTGTTTTTTCTGGCCCAGAAAAACTATGGGTGTCCTGTATACATGTCCCTGAACCAAACCTGGGAAAACAAGATCAACCCATCAAATCAAACCGTCTCGGCCTCTCAAGAAACTCTGTCTACCGGGATGTTCCACAATGTGCTCTGAGAGTCCAAAGCACACAGCAATGCCCCATAGGTCACTTGTGTGGGCGTTGAATTCAAGTCCTCACATAACATCTGAGCACATTCAAAAGGACTGTACAGTATTTGAGGTCTCGGCAGATGATTGGAGGCCCAAACCTAATGATGAATCATTTATCCTTCATGCAATTCAAGTGTTCCATCTGCAAGGCTCTGCTGTTTTACAGCAGGAAATAATACAATCTCAGCCAATGTATCTAACGACTCCAAGGACGTTTAATATGTTTAATGTAACTCATGACCAAGAATTGACACTGGGCTTGGGTGCTCGGAACATTGATGTGGTCAAACACGGCAAAGTAAAGACCAGCTGCCACAGTCCTGTGAGCAGAATAAGTACAGCGTCTGATGCCAATGCTCCCTGCATGCAGTTAATGCTGCCTTAGCGTTGCAGGGCAGGACAATTCCTAAACAATTGCACATGTCAATCGGCTCATGATGTTGGATGTAAGTCGACAGCCATAGAACCCACATCTGAACTTGCTCTACGGCTTGTGCAAAAAGTGTGCCATCGGTAATAATTTGGTACATTGAGGGGTCAATTACCATGGCACAACCCATTCAACCCAAGCAACGATGCAAACATACAATAAGCCTGCAAGCAAGGAACAGTTAACAACGTTTCATCAGCAGGAACGGCTGCTGTCCTGAATAAAGAAAGAATAGCGAGCGAAGAATGCCAGCTGCTGGGGGGGGTCACAGGCACTGATGGCACCAGTGAAGCTGATTATGTCCAAACGAATCCTCGAGCAAGCTCTAAAACATCAACATAAAGAGACATAGGCGGTTCCTCTTTTGCCAATTGAAAGTTTCAGGCGCTGTGCAAGTCATCTCCTGGATGTTATTTATGCTTTGGCTGTGAAACATTAAATATCGTGTGCAACATGTTGGCCTATGGCATTGTCGAAGCAAACCGCAACGTCTGTTGAAGCTTATCTGGTTTATCTGAGTTGGGGTCTCCTTCGTTGTGAAGCTCCTGCTAACAAAAGAAGGGCCATCTCCCATTCGCCGTCACGACTGCACAATTGTAGCAAAGCCTCTGTGAGGAAAATGTTTGCGGATGGGGCACAATCAGTGTGGTCACTCAACACCTCGCAAAATAATATGTCAGTCTCGCATAGTAAGGCCCTCACGAAGAAGCAGAGCGGTCAAGTAGCAACAAAGCGTTTGGCCATGCAAGCAAGGACTGCACCATAGGTGACCCTGGGCAAAGCTGCAGCAACCGACATGAAACTGCACTCTTTAATACTCTTTAGTCGTGCGAATCCGAGCATCTTAGTTCAATAAATATACTGTATATATATAGTATAGTTCAATCACATCCATGCTATGGGTTCGAACCGTTCTGAGACTCATTTTTCAAAGGCTGAGGAGGTCCCAAGCCCATGCTACATGGAAAATTATCGATATGCCATTTTGCCACTACTATCCGCTGTTTATATAATACACTCCAATTCTCAATTCCGCCAAACGTGAGTGAACTGAGATAAACTGAGTGACGTGTCAGGCTGCAAGTGCTCCATGCGAAGCAACGTGTAAATGCCCAAGGCTCTGATCCATTCATTGGACACGACAATGCCCGAATTCCAGCTGAACAAGTCCGCGAACTCCTGACTGGAGCAAATTCGCCAAGCTTGAAGGGATCAAACATGTTCAAACTCAGTTGAGTCTCCGAGATCTTGGGAGATCTATGAAGCAAATTCGAACAAGTAAACTGTAGATTGATTCTGCTGCAGGAGAATGCCTGTCTTCCAAAGCCTTGATCAGCGTGTTGTGACCTTGGAGGCCCAATGCCGCCCATGTGCTTACACCCCACGGGGCAGTGGAGAAGAAGTTTGTGATATATATATATATATATCCTTGAATCATCCGCATGTTGATGGTGGGCCATTATAGTCAAGCACGCAACAAGATCCGTCAGGGTCCAAATGGGTCCAGCATCAATGGAAGCTTCATTTTGAGTCGGGATTGCTGTACTAAGGAGCTTGCTGATGGTATCTGATGCCAACCTGCCTTCAGCCATTTCATCAAAGAGCTTCCTGAAGACAGGTATCAAATGGTATCAGCAAGAATTCGACGAACATCTCTGTGTCGTTCATGAGCTGGTTAAGCGGCGGTTTAATTAGCCTGATTTTGTAATCTTAGGCTCAAGGAGTGGTCCCAAGGGCAGGAGGCAAGGGCTGCATGTTGCCGGAGAGACCTCCATCTAGAAGAGACCTGAAGCATTAATTAATTTGTCAGCAAAAAAATTGATATTCAAACAATAGACATGCAATTAGAATTATACTTGGGCTGACCCGTGGAACTCCATGTTATTACCTGGACTTAGTCACTAATTACTTGGTTGAGATTGCCAAGGGGCAACCCGCTTTCCCAGCCCTCATTCCGCATTGCATGCATGACCTGAAGCAAGCCAAATTACTGCATAACTCACCACATGTGACATGTCATGTGGCCCAAAAAAGGGCCCCGAGAAGGGCTCACAGGAAATGCCGAATCACTCGAAGTCAAACTTTGCTTTTGAGATGCGCTGACTAAGCTCCCCACGATGCCACGGTTGACGGAATCTGGATCGAGGTGTTTGTGCCGCATGGCACCCAATGTCTGCAGAGAAGCTTCCCAGTGCTCCACACGCAAGAGGACACCATAATGAATGCAGTTCACCTGTAAATCACCTGGGCCGATGTTGTTTCTCCCCTAGCTGCTAGGTGCTACACTGGGCCTTCTCTGTCTGTCGAGTCCACTGATGCCGTGGCCCTTTATATTCAAGACGCTTCGCGTCGACAGCCGCTCACACCGCGCACGAACAGCCGAAGTTAGTGAAATGGAAGTAGTAAGTAGCCATCTAGGCGCCAGGTTGGGGACAAGTGCAGCCATCTAGGCGCCAGGTTGGCTGTCTTACGACTGCGTTGGAGCCATCTTCGGGCCAACTTCGTCTACCTTGGGGCCCATAATGATGATATAACTTCGGCCTTGCCAAAAGCCATCCAAAAATACACCTCCAAAACGCTCTCCCCAGTGGCCCTGCGGCTCAACCATAGCCACGCACGCGCGAAAAAAAAGGCGCCAGGTTGGCTGTCTTACGGCTGCGTTGGAGCCATCTTGGGGCCAACTTCATCTACCTTGGAGCCCATAATGGTGATACAACTTCAGCATTGCCAAAAGCCATCCAAAAATAACGCCCTGCAGGCCGAGCAAGAATCAACGCAGCAACCACACCAAAACACAAAAACTCCTCCAAAACGCTCTCCCCGGTGGCCCTGCAAACACGACGTAACGAAAAATCATCCAAACATGTACCTCCAAAACGCTCTCCCCAGTGGCCCTGCAGCCCAACCATAGCCGCGCACGCGCAAAAAAAAGGCCCCCCCCAGCAAAGCCCTGCACCGACAAGCGGTGTGGGCGGATTAAACGATGCTGAAGTGAACGGAGCGGCTTGGATATGACCAGGCAAGAGAGCCGCTCACATCCCGCCAAGCAGCCTTCCCGCATCTGGCTCAAACAATGCGCCAAGGCATCGGCATCTCCAGCCTGCACACTTCTGTCTGGATGGTGGATGTTTTCCAAACAAAGCCATCAAGAATCACTCCCTGAGCTGTTTGGGTTCAGCCCTCCTGAGCCACGCGTTGCAACCAGCGCGTTGCTATCCAGGGCTGCTCCTCCCAAGTGGCGGTGATTTGAGCGGGAAGGGACGTTCCGAGGCGGCAATGTGCACTTCGAGGGGGTGTCAAGCTGCAACTACAGTAATTAGTACAATCTAAACAAACGACAACACAACTACAATTACAAGTTGAGGGTGATTCAATCTGCAGGGAGTGGCATTGTCATCGTTTGATGATGAGTCATTCGTGTGAAAAGGATGCTTCAATCCTTAGCACCAGAAATTGGTACTCGGGCTTGGACACCCCACTATGTCAGGCGACCAGTCCTTGGGCAATGATCTTACGTGAAGCTCGGAAATCTCGCTGGCGTGGCGCGCCATTGGCAGTCCAAAAAGGAGCAGCTGGGCTGCTCATGATGAGGCACATGATATGTCTACAGCTGTGACTTGTGCGCGCTCTCTCTCTCTCTCTATATATATATACTTTCTTGAGCAAGCTTTTGCTTCCAAGTTTGAAAGGTCCAAGCTAGCTGGTATGTACCTCAGGGCGTTGTTCAGCAGGCTGTGAATGGACTCTCATTATCATTCAGAATTCTGGGCATGAAGTGCAGAATAAGATCGCAAATTCAAACTTTCGACTTTCTGCTCAGATCTAAGCTGCGTGAGATTCATGATCAACAAATCTTGGCATCACATGAACCTGCACACCCACAGCGTTGGCTGGTCTGTTTTCTCTCCGCTCACATGTCTGCAGGGAACTGGCACATGTCATGCATGCAATGTGCTATTTTAGCTTGCTTCAGACTCAGGCTATGGAACATTATGGGACTCTTGCTTTCAAACAGTTTTTTCATGACCGGCACAATCAGGTATGTATATAAAGTAAACAAAGAGACTACAAGAGCCAATGCTTCGCAGAAAACCAGGATGCAAAAGATAAACGGTCGACTCATGTGTCAGGGCAACCCATATGCCACAGCGAGGATGTGAAAAGAACAAATGCATGGGAATGCAATAACAACACGCTCTGGAGCCCCCCCCACATCGCCAAATTCGGCAACCACCATATATACATGTTTCACAGTGTTTCACCATATTTCTGAGCGAAGGGGCGCTTGTCCTTGGACAGGAGGCTCGCAATTTAAGGGACAATGCATGTTGCCGCCTGCTGCTGTATGTGCAAGCAAGTCTAGAGTCTAGACCAATTCCATATTTAGAATGATCATGCATGATCATTTCGTGCACGTGAGCGCCCATAATGTCAAGCGACTGTGGTATCGATCGGCGGTGTGGGTGGTAGCAATGGCCTCCCGCTGAGCGGGGTGAATATATTAAAACCTCTTGGCTTTGCAACCAGAAAGCTGGGCAATGCTGTTCTACAGCGTGAAACATTGGACGCATCAACAAGGTGCGCATTCACACCCAACCTTTGCCATCTGAAGCATACGGCAGTTTTTCAATACCAGCATTCAAGCATCAAAGCTAGACTTTGCCCAAGCCCTCTGAAAAAGAACAACCTGTACATAGTGTTCCTGAAACCATCTCAGACCTGTGAGTCACATGTTGAATCCCCTCTATTTGACCCTTGCTGGTGACACATCAGCGCACGCTTGAATCTGGTCAGCTTTCCGCCAAGCACCCAGCAGCACAAGAATCATGAGCAATAGCTTTGTCATGCTCCCGTCGCTCACTTCAGCACTAAGTGCCAAGCTCAGAGCCGTCTCACTTCAGCACTACTGGGCCACCGCATGCTGTGCCCCTCGAGACGGTGCACTTGCCTTGGAAGGGCTTGCACGCTTGTGCATATTTCCACCCACACTTCCTCGGCACGCGAGTGAGGCACTCAGCTGCAAAGCTCTGAATCAACATCGCCACTTATAACACACACATATATATATATATACATATGTCACACCCGAACATGCTACTATGTGTCACCATGGCACGAGTGTTACATGCCCTTAGCTTCAGCCTGACCATTTTGATCCCTTTTGTTTGTGGGTTCTGCGGACGGTTCTTTCATCTTGAATTGCAGGCTTTAGAAGTTTGGCAAGAATTCAGAATGCCTTAGAATGTCCTTTGGTCTGAAAAACTGCGCCGCATTTCAGCGATAGGCTCCATGGCAAGCTTGGATGAGAATGACAATGCAGCAATGCATGTGTTGCACATATTGAGTGCATGTTCGAACCACCGCCTCAATCTGTTCAATCGCAGGCTGTCACTGCCAGGCCTGTGTTGCTTGCTGCTAGGTGAACTATGCTGGGGCATGTCGCACTGGGCACCACGGGTCGCATACTGGCATTATCCGAAAGTCCATCCGGCCGGACAAAATCTTGTCGAACACTGGGAACAAACTTTGGATCATGCCGCGATGCCCTGTGAGGCCGCAGCTCGAGTCAAAACATTGTCATTGCCTTTCGGGGCCTGCGCATGGAAATCCGTGCTTCAATGGCTTGGAAAAGTATGTACATGTATTTACAGTATCACACTTGAATATCCTTCATGTGGACCACGACCACAAGGGTGATACAGGCAGAATTGAAGGAACATAAGGTAAACAAAGGGATGAACTGGTCAAACTGGTGTTTCGGATTGAGTGTTCCCAAAACACGGGCGCAGCAGTGTGAACCCAATACATAGGACTACATAGTTATGCATAGCTGTGCATAGCTGTACATAATTAAACAACATTAAACAGTAGTTTAAACAGTACATCATCCAGCTGCTAGCTTGAGAAAAAATACGAAAGCCGTGAAGCTGGCAAACCCACCACTTTGCTGGTGCTGGTGTGCCGGATCCATGCCCTCCACTTGGTGCCGTGGCCTCTGCATCGTGACAAAAAGATCGAAACTTAGTGGCAATCAAATTACAAGCATCGATCATTGTTGTGCCCTCTCATGCCTTTCCGTCCTCCAAGAAAAATTAAACCTGATCCTTAGTCTTTAAACCACTTAAATCGCCTTGCGCGCTGCCAGGGCTTCTCTCTTCTCTTTCTCCACTCTCTCTTCCTCCTCCTTCCGCCTTGCTTCAAGCTGCTGTCGGATGTCTCGGCCACCAGACTTTTCGATGGCCTCACCAAGCAGGCCAAAGAGCCAAAGAGCAAGCCAAAAGGACTTCCCTAATAAGAACAAATCAAAGAACTGGAAAACCCCACATGTCCAGTTTACCTTTGCATTAGAAAGCGGAAGAAACAAGGTGCCGGCGTTGTTAACGACCCTGTGGCTTTGAGCAGTTCCCATCATGCATGAAAACCAAGAATCCATGGGAAAACGCAGGGCTTTGCGTTTCATTCATGCTTTCATGACGTTATTTTCGCATGGTTTTTACCATAACAGGCCCTGCAAGAATGCTCCCACGCATTGGATATACGACGTGCGAGTGGGTCAATTTAGACCCCCTCATCTTTTACGATGACAAGAACGTTTGCTGAAGAGAAATCATTGACCCTCGCAGTTTTTGAAGTCAAAATGAACATTTGGAAAAGCTGCGCAGCCGGCGTCTTTTGACTTCCGCGAAGCAGACGCAGATGTGCGGGTTTGGTCCTTTGGAAGTTTTGGCATGGAGAGACTTCGGGACGTACGACTTGAGATGTCCCCAGACACGATCCATGACTTGTGTTCCTGTTCTCACTGTCTGTCCACGCAACACTTTATTGAGCCTTCCGCGCAGCCGAAACAGCTCAGCCATCCCTGAAGCCACTATTCTGAAACTCGTAAGGCAATCTAGTAGTACGGCCAGGAGCGCCTAGTAGCGGTCGTAGTAGCGTCCTTGCTCCTACTAGTACGGCCAGGAGCCCGTAGTAGCGTCCTTGCTCCTAGTAGCACGGTCAGGAGCCACACAACAAGACGGAGTTAGCCCCCCCCCACCTCCCCACGGTCAAATGGTCCGGAACGCAGGGGTCACTAATGACGCCGGCAGCACAAACAAGCAGATGGTGAGTTGGTGTGATTTGCGTTGCGAGTCACTGTTTGTCTGAATGAGTTGGTGTGTGTAAGTTGGTGTGAGTGACGTGGTGTACGTATAAGTTAGTGTGTACAGGAGGGGAACCTCGCTGCCAGGAGAACTGCTGTCAGGGGTGTGCAGCACCTGTGATCTACTGCACGCAACGAAGCTATGATCGCAAATTGGACGGGATTCAGGACGCTTGATCCTGCACCTGCAAAAGAACATACTGACTCCAATGATTCCGTCGCATTGATTTGGCTCATGTATGTCAAGCCAAATTGCTGCCGACTTTGCACCTTGCAGTTGTATTGTCTAGGTCCACTCGTCTTGCATGATGTAAACTTGTAAATCATATTAATATATTGTTCCTGACTCTCGCCCTTCCGTTTCCTCAGGGCCATTGCAGGTTTATGAGGTCGTAATTTTGCACTAGACAGGTATCGCAATAAACAGATCGTAAAGCGTACCCTGAATTATGCTCTTGCAAGCATCCTTCTCAAGTGTGTGTGTGTGTGTGTCCAACCCTGGACAAAGGGTCTTTCACCACCACTCTTTCCACTTTACATGGGCAGGGGGCTCACGGGTCTGTTCCTGGCGTGAGCCAACGAAGCTCCAGGTTCAGACTAGGATATCGAAAGAGGACGCTCTTTCGACGTACCTGCAACCTGAACTTTTGACCACGCTGTCTCATTTGCTTTGTTTGATTCCATGGTTCTTCACGATACTTCCCCCAAACGCACTCGTCCCCAGCAGCTGCGCCGCCGGTTTGATTGCACAGCTTTGCAGCCGCGTCTTTCGAGTACGATTGGAAACCATGTTCAACCATACTGTTTCAGCTGACTTTTCCACCTTGCGTTTCTTCGCCATCCTTCCCATCAGAGAATTTGAGCTAACTGAATACAAATTGTCGAAGTGTGTGCGTGCGTAAGTTGGTGTAATGAGTTGGTGCATGTGAGTTGGTGTGTGTGGAAGTTGGTGTGCGCGGAGAGCAGCAAAGCGCAGGGTGTATGGCAAGAGCCCCAGACTAGCATAATTTGGGAACAAAACAACTCGGCTGTTCCCTCCAGCTCTGTGGCCGCACCTGCATGGCCTTCTTGTTCAACTCATCTCGTTCTTTCTGCGCTTTGGCACTCAGCAAGACGTAGTCGCAAAGCTCGGGCTCACCGCGGCAGCAGAAGTAGCAGGCTAGGAAGAAGTCAGGGCAAAAATAGTTCTCCATGGTCACCTCCAACGGCTGCAGTAAATCCTACGGGACCTAACAAGTCTGGTATGAGGCCAAATCACAAAGACTTTATTAATAACACCAATACCACCGAAGTTATGAAATCATGAAGAACAAACAAAAAGGGTAAAAACATATTAGCCCTGTGAACAAAACATAAATTTGTCCATACCATTGCCATACCATGTTTCAAGATACGTAAACGGATTTTGGAAGTATTTTTTCAGAGTCTGGAAATTTGTGAAAACAACAGGATTATTTTTTTAGTTAAGATTTGATGAAAAATGGTGCCACTTTTTTTAATGAATCCAGGACTGTTTGTACATTTTATTTGCATTTAATGTGTTGTGCTATTTAACGCCGGAATTTATGAAAACAATACGATAAAATTACAAATTATGTTTTTCAAATGCAATCCAACCCAATGGTTGTAATAAAATTGTCATAAAAACACAGATCTATGTTGAAGTGGTTTGTACCAACGTGCTGGATCTCAATCCTACCGTGAAAATGAGAGACTTTGACACGGAAATCCTGCGGTCATCCTCAGTTGACACCGTAAGTTTGTCCTGACCGGCTAACTAAGTCCGTGTTTAGCCACTCAGTCCTTTTTGTGAGTCACGAGGGTGCTCACGTTACAAAATGGCCTTGGCAACCTCTTTTCCATCTATTTCCAGCACTTGGTCATCTGCTTTCCACTGGGCAACCGTAAAGAGCATCCCATGAAGATCGTCACAAAGATGGCCATCGCTTTTCCAATAGACGTTCCCCTCCAAGTCCAAGGTTCGGTGAACCAACAATGCCCGCTCAGGCTCTTTTCGGCACCGGAACTCCATTCCTGCATGGATCACAGAGATCCAGCTGGATGCAACGCCAGACATCGATAAAACATCAGCTGCAGTTGGGTCTAACTCGGCTATTTGTTAGAATAAGGCACCATCAGCAGTGATGTGGAAATCGGAGAAGAACCGGTCAGATCGGAAAGCCGGCTTTCCATTGAGTTCCACCTGTTCAAAGGAGCATTTCCGATCCCGAGCTCCTGTGCAGCCCCCAACACAAGTCATAAAGCTGAACTAGCAAGTAAGACACTCACAAGTCATAGCACAAGCATAGTCACCAGCAAGTCCTGCTTTCGGCGCGATCATCTTGATGTTCCTTTCTTTTTCAAAGCTCCACTTCCAGGAGCGGTACTCCTCTTGAATCCCAAGAGTCCCCAGCATGTCCCTGCTGAATCGACTCGTAACATCTCATTACTCTCTGTCCTCTTCGGTCAAATAGCTTGGCTTGGGGATCATCAGCATGGTGGCAGAGCTCCCCTTCCTGAGAAGATCTGATGATTAAAATTCACGTCACTGACTTGTGGACAACTTCAAGATTTGCAGTACAGGAAGTCATGCCGCTTCTGGTTGTCATGTTTGGTGTCGCCGTTATCAGTCAATCTTACACCGAAGATGGTGGTCTTTCAGTTCCTCGCCATGAAGGAGATCCTTCACGTCGCCAAGGAAAAAAGTGCCCAGGAACATCCAGGAGCTACATTGTGCTACATTCGACTCATTCGACTCAACAAAACAATTAAAAAAAGGTTTGGAGGTGTTGCTCTTCCACCACTAAGGCCAGATCCCCTCTGGCAAGCAAAACACGTAGTCCAAGAGATTAAACTCCTGTCGGGTCAGAAAGGTTCACTCATTGGACTCTTCTCTCAGCTATTTCTCATGTCCTGGTCTGGATCACAAAGATTTGGCCACTTCTCAGAGTAGTCACCTTCTGGCAACTTGGCCTCTGGTTCTTTTGCATTTCCTGCATCATTGCCTTCATGCATTGGCGGATCTCTGATCTCACCAGCACCCCCAAGACACTATCTGCAGGCTGTGGCATCATTGAAACAATGAAACTGTCTACTTCAACCAAATCCAGCCTTCATGTTTGACCTCCACCGTCGGCTTTGGAGGGACCGGCGGACAAACTGCCACTTGGACAGGCTCTGCGGAAGCTCCACACCCCATTGCTTTGGGGGGTTGCGCCTTGGAGCCCCTGTGTGGCTGCAGCACAAAGCACACTCATGGTTCTCTACTTTCCTATGCCTCGAAAGAGAGGAAGACCGTCGAGTCGTCCAGTCTCGTGACGGATCTCCGGAAGGGTCAAGGGTGGGACTCCCACAGCTGTGCAGCTGCGGTGGCATTTTTTGGGGCTGGTGGGCTGGTGCGTTTGTGTTTCTTGTGACTCTTGTGATCTCGTCCGTGCCAATGCTTGCTACCAGTACGAGGTGATGCTGGAAGGCTGGTGGCCTCTTTCGCCATCCTAGGCTGGTGAAGCTTCTAGAATCACCATCAACCTTTCTACACATTTTCTTGCAGCGCCGTTGTGAAGCGTGGTCTGGTGCAATGCTGTTGTTTGTGTGTGTGTGTGTGCCAAACCCTGTTTCCAAGGGTTCAATTTAATTTAAAGCAGGGGGATGAGGATCCCTTGGTGCGCCTCATCTAACAAAGACCGCACCAAGTGGATGTGATATCAGTGCCCGGCCAGCACTGACGTACCTGCCTTTCAATTGTTTAACTCGACGTTTTTCAACAATACTGTTCGACGGACTCAGCACTTCTTTTTCAGTCAAGGTCTAAATTGCAGTAGTCGTAGTTAACTAAAGTGCACTGGTGAACAATGTTAAACAATACTTTTCCGCGGACTCTGCCACCTTTCCGTTCTCTCACCTTCCTTCTCAGCTTGGGAACTGAGTGTAACTGAAAACCAATGTCAGAGTGTGTTTCGCTCAGCCGTCCCACTCGGGTGCTGAGTGTGATCCCCGTCACTGGGGCGCTGTTTCATTGGGAAATCTTTAACGGAACTCACTACCGCTCACCGGAACTTCACTGGAATTCACCTCCACTTCCAACGAATTAACTGCCACAACGGCCGCCGGGCCAAAAAACGGTGAACCACCACAGCCGCCGGGCTATAAAACGGTACTCCCCTTGCAGTCATGCAGTCAGGCAGGTTTCCCAACCCCCCCCCAGCCGAGTTCTACTCCCCACCTAATTAGGGCAACATAGGGAAATGGTACTCGACACACTTGTGTGTCGGTGCCTTTCCCTGTGTTGTTCCTGTTCTGGTCTTTCCTACCCGGGCGGTCTAAGTCCCGCTCCCTAGCTATCGCACTTACTTCATCTCTGCTAAGTAATCAGTAACTCTAGAGTGCTAGGTATTCAGACACACACATGTACACACACATGGACATACAGCCCCTCCCTGCCCCCCCGCTTTCCTTCTTGCGCTTTTCGTCGTTTGTTGGGCTTTCTCTCAGGCTTTCTAGGTTGCTCTTGAGGCTCGTTTCCCTACCCCAGTCAAGGGCTAAGTATTCACTTTTCTACACCTACCTTTCTTTCTTGCCCTCTTAGCGCTGCTCTTTCTGTCTTTCTTTTCTTTTGTTTCTAAGGCTTTTTAGGTGACTATTCAGGTCTTTCACATGCGCGCCGCGAAGCGGCACCGTGTGTGTGCCAAACCCTGTTTCCAAGGGTTCAATTTAATTTAAAGCAGGGGGATGAGGATCCCTTGGTGTGCCTCATCTAACAAAGACCGCACCAAGTGGATGTGATATCAGTGCCCGGCCAGCACTGACGTACCTGCCTTTCAATTGTTTAACTCGACGTTTTTCAACAATACTGTTCGACGGACTCAGCACTTCTTTTTCAGTCAAGGTCTAAATTGCAGTAATCGTAGTTAACTAAAGTGCACTGGTGAACAATGTTAAACAATACTTTTCCGCGGACTCTGCCACCTTTCCGTTCTCTCACCTTCCTTCTCAGCTTGGGAACTGAGTGTAACTGAAAACCAATGTCAGAGTGTGTGCAAAAGTGCAGTGGAATGTCCTGCGGAGATGTGTCGTGTGTCCGCTGCAAGTGGGGCGACTTCTACCGAGATGTTGGGTGAACTTTGGATATCTTTCGTGTTTCCCTTGATTTGCGGCTCTTCCTGATTTGAGGACATGTGTGATGATCTGTAGTGATACACCCCTAGTTAGGATACGTATAGTATAGCATATATAAACAAATTACATATTCTGGCATCATAAGGATGGGTTGCGTTTAAAAAAAAGGAGAGAGCAAAGCGTAGGCATCACGCACGCTGTGTCTTTCCGCCGCATGCCGCGCATGCCTTGCGACTGGTCCTACACAGTCCGAAAGAAACTTTGTCCATCACACGCACAGTTGGCGAAGTCGAATTGACCACCTTAAGTGAACGGTTGGCTCCGATTGTCGGCGCCCACCTTTTTGCGCGTATGCTGTGCAAAGATGTTAGCGGTGTAAAATCTGCAGCACGCATCAAAACGCAATTGAAAAATCATTATTGGAAGCAGTGCAATTGGATGTGAATACTCAATGACCCTGCAAAAGCAATTCGGCTATGATTGCACACCACTATACAAACATTCCATGCCAGCCTTTGCTGGAATTCGACTTAGAGCTTGGGCGGACAAGCCGGAAGAACAAATGCTCCCAGCATTGTCAGTTCACCGATTTGTGCAGTCCCAAGGTCATTTGTCCCGCAAAGGTCGCAGCCACGGTGGCTGAGCTCACCACGAGCAAGTGTCCTTTTCCATCCGCACCTTAGCTTTAGCATGCTTTAGCTCTGGCAATGGCCTCCAACCTACTAGCAATGGCCTCTCCGTCACATGAACATGGTTGTTTCATAATCTTTCATACTTCCAGGATCTTCCAAGTGACAGCAGGGCTCTCCACATCCACCCAAGCTCCACCTGCATCGTCCAAGTGCACTGCGGTGAAACCGGCGAGGTTCACCTGCCGACACCCGCACTCCAAAACAGCTCAGATGTATAGAGGCACTGGGGAATGATTTGGCCCCACCCAAACCACAAAAGAGTGGGCCCTGCTTTCACTACAATCTACAGTACTGTTGGAGCTGTGCCCCATGCCTTTGGGCCGCAACAGCCTCCTCCACCACCAGATAGCACATCCATGCACCCCTGAGGGCCCTTCCTGGCGGACAATTCCACTTCCAGGCGCTGGATCGGGACTGAAATCTGCACAGCAAGGTTCAACATCTTCGCCCTCAGACTAGAAGCTATTCAGGAGACAAAAAATATGTGACGTTCCTGACCCAACCCCACACTGGCGAGGCATTGAAATGTTTGTCGCAAAGCAAGACCAATGGAGAACCCCACACGAAGCGGCTAAGCGAGCATCATAGGGACACAACACACTTCTGATCGTGGACGTGTCCGTACGCGCAAATCAATCGCACCTAGCAATAGCAAGTCATAGCAAGTCTCGAAAAACCAGCTGAGTGTGATGCGGTTCAGTTGCATCCTTGAGAGAAGCTGGATGCGAGACTTTTCCAATACAGGCCACATTTGCTCTCAACTGCTTTGCAGATTGAGAGGTGTCTCAGCTCAGCCATTCGGCAGCTAACTGGTGGGCGTCCCGCGCGGCAAAAGCCGGATGGGCAATCAAGTGAAGTTCAGCGTTCAGGCGGGTATAGGAACGCAACGAATTCATCGTAGTCTATTTGACCATCATCATCGGTGTCCATCACACTGGCCAGAATTTCGCATTCCTTCGGAAAATGTTGCCATAACGTACAAAGGGCTGTCTGAGGTCTAATAGGTTCTTCAGATTTGGAGCTCATCTGCGCCTTCTGGGTCAAGCCGCAGGCCTCCCGCAAGACTTTCTGAACTTCGGCCTGAAACGAGCTCTCCAGGGGTCCAAATGCAGGCAGAAACCATCAAAAAACCAAATACAAGGACTGCATTTGGCGCTGGGTTTCTGATAATCCAAGGACTGCTTCATACATCGTCATACTGCATTCGGTGCTGGTTCTCGGCCAAATCCCACCTGAGAGATCAAGCCGTTGCCGTTGGCATCCCAGGCGCGGAACGAAGCCCTCAGCTTGATGTCTTGGTAGGACGCACGAAGAATTGCAAAATGGATGCAGTACGTAGGTATAAGATGGTAAAAGAAGTCCAAAAATGTCCAAAAAGGCCTCACCACATCAGCTGAAGTACCTGCCACAACACTTGGTGCAGACTTTCGACTCTAGACTCTAGGTATACTAT